GCGGCAGGGGCCCCCCAGCCAGTAACCCCTAGAGGCAGTGGAGCTGGTGGTGGCTGGTCAAGCCTGGCTGGGAAACCCCTGGTAACTCTCATTTTAGTGGGTGGGCAGCAGGGTGGTAATACTCAAAAGGTAATAACAAAATAACAAAACTCAAAAGGTAATAACAAAATGTTTTTTAAGTACATCAGAAGCAGAAAGCCTGCTAAACAACCAGTGGGGCCCCTGGACGATTGAGATAGAAAAGGAGCACTTAAAGATGATAGTCATTGTGGAGAAACTAAATGAATTCTTTGCTTCAATCTTCATGGCTGAGGATGTTAGGGAGATTCCCAAACCTGACCCATCCTTTGTAGGTGACAAATCTGGGGACTTGTCACAGATTGAAGTGTCATTAGAGGAGGTTTTGGAATTAATTGATAAACTTAACAGTAACAAGTCACCGGGACCAGATGGCATTCACCCAAGAGTTCTGAAAGAACTCAAATGTGAAATTGTGGAACTATTAACTACGGTTTGTAACCTATCCTTTAAATTAGCTTCTGTACCCAATGACTGGAAGATAGCTACTGTAATGCCAATATTTAAAAAGGGCTCTGGAGGTGATCCCGGCAATTATAGACCGGTAAGTCTACGGTAAGTCTAACTATTAGTTGAAACAATAGTAAAGAATAAAATTGTCAGACACGTAGAAGAACATAATTTGTTGGGCAAAAGTCAACATGGTTTCTGTAAAGGGAAATCACGTCTTACTAATCTATTAGAGTTCTTTGAAGGGGTCAACAAACATGTAGACAAGGGGGATCCAGTAGATATAGTATACTTAGATTTCCAGAAAGCCTTTGACAAGGTCCCTCACTGAAGGCTCTTATGTAAATTAAGTTGTCATGGGATAAGACGGAAGATCCTTTCATGGACTGAGAACTGGTTAAAAGACAGGAAACAAAGGGTAGGAATAAATGGTACATTTTCAGAATGGAGAGGGGTAACTAGTGGTGTTCCCCCCATTCAACTTATTCATAAATGATCTGGAGAAAGGGGTAAACAGTGAGATGGCAAAGTTTGCAGACGATACTGAACTGCTCAAAGTTAAGACCAAAGCAGACCGTGAAGAACTTCAAAAAGATCTCACAAAACTAAATGATTGGGCAACAAAATGGCAAATGAAATGTAATGTGGATAAATGTAAAGTAATGCACATTGGAAAAAATAACCCCAACTATACATATAAAATGATGGGGGATAATTTAGCTACAACTAATCAGGAAAGAGATCTTGGAGTCATCGTGGATAGTTCTCTGAAGACATCCACGCGGTGTGCAGCAGCAGTCAAAAAAGCAAACAGGATTTTAGGAATCATTAAAAAAGGGATAGAGAATAAGATGGAGAATATCTTATTGCCCTTATATAAATCCATAGTATGCCCACATCTTGAATACTGCGAACAGATGTGATCTCCTCATCTCAAAAAAGATATACTGGCATTAGAAAAGGTTCTGAGAAGGGCAATTAAAATGATTAGGGGTTTGGAACAGGTCCCATATGAGGCGAAATTAAAGTGATTGAGACTTTTTAGCTTGGAAAAGAGGTAACTAAGGGGGGATATGATAGAGGTCTATAAAATCATGTGGAGAAAGTGAATAAGGAAAAATTATTTACTTGTTCCCATAATATAAGAACTAGGGGCCACCAAATGAAACTAATGAGCAGCAGGTTTAAAACAAATAAAAGGAAGTTCTTCTTTACACAGCGCATAGTCAATCTGTGGAACTCCTTGCCTGAGGAGGTTGTGAAGGCTAGGACTATAACAGGGTTTAAAAGAGAACTAGATAAATTTATGGAGGTTAAGTCCATAAATGGCTATTAGCCAGTATGGGTAAGGAATGGTGTCCCTAGCCTCTGTTTGTCAGAGGGTGGGGATGGATGGCAGGAGAGAGATGGCTTGAACATACCTGTTCAATTAACTCCCTCTGGGACACCTGGCATTGGCCACTGTCGGCAGACAGGTACTGGGCTGGATGGACCTTTGGTCTGACCCAGTATGGCCATTCTTATGTTCTTATGTTCTCAGTCAGTCCAACTTTAGCAGGGCAGCAGCAGGGTGGGGAGTCCCAGACTTGGGAGCTGGGAGACCAGCTGGCAGCAGGGCAGTCAGCAGGGAAGCATTGACCTCTCCTGGTCCAGCAAACCTCTGGTCCAGGATGACTCAGGTCCCGAGGGTGCTGGATCAGGAAGGTCCAACCTGTACTGCATCAGAGGACTCAAAGATATCAAAGATGATGGGGATGATCTTGAGAATTACAGCCCTTATTTAGTAAATTTAGCTGAAATGGTCATTAAGAACAGAATATTCTTTGTGCTGTAAGAACATCTATAGATCTGTATAACTATAGTTATATAATTAAGTTTATCATGATAGTACTATGAATTTGTATAAATTATATAGACATTTGCCAATTCCTTAGTAGCTCTTCTCCAAACTCTAGCAACATTTTTATTGATTTAAAACATATTTGTTTTAACCAGAGATTTTTTGTTACATTGGAAAAGCTATTGATTTTCATATCTGACTTGGAAATTTAGTTTTTGTCTACTCTACAGTTGAATATTCATACTAACCTCATCATTTGCATGACTCCTGTAGAGGAGTTTCTAACAGTAGTCAGAACTGTTTTCTGTTTAAGTATCATGGTAGTGTATTTCCTGTTAAGATCTTTATCATAACAGGTTGTTTGCTTTAATCAGTAATGTGGCTCTCTTGATCTTACTGAGTCTCTGTTATAAACTCCAATTAAACTCGAGTACCCAAACATTTACTCACTGACTGTTGAAACATATTTTCTTTGTTTTTGTATTTTCAGTAACAGAGTAGAAGTGTTATGGAAACACTGCACAAACTGTAACTATGAGCCTTACATCTACTCAAAGAAGACAATAATAACCAAGAAAATCTACCAGATGGTTCTTTTTAATAAATACATTAATGTCTTTTTTTATTTTTCTTCAATTTTGTTGACTAATATGATAACAGAAACTTTCAGACCATCAAACCAGTTTTCACAATCTGTCGTTAAGTTTTCATTTCACAGAAATAGTTATGACAAGCACTAATAGATGAATGTTGGTGCGATAATGAAACAGTATAAGGCATATTTACACCATCCTTACATACAGAACACTGTACACACAAAAAAATCACAGATCTGGAACAAAGTAAATTCCCCAAGATATTTTATGCTTATAGGCTTGGCATTAAACAAATATTTACCCAAGCAACTGACAAACCTCTTGTTCTTGTGTAATTTATTTGTAACATTGTGCTCATGCAAAATAGGTATTTGCTTTATTGCATTAACATTGAGAGAGTATTGGGATTTGGTTTTGTAACCAGTTTTATCAAATTTAAAACCCTGTTTCTCCTCACCTATAGCAAGGTTGAGTCATTTTTACTGATGACACAAACTGAGCAGTGATCTGATGATTGGGTTTTTTATTTGATGAGTTACAAAATGATAATGAATCCCAGATGATTAAAGTGTGAAAACCAACATTCTTGATCATGCACATTTTGTTTTACGAATATAAAATGGTTTAGACCAAATTCATCTTGAATTTGTTTATTTTTTTTTAAGAAACCATGTACTATCCAACATCCACTGTTTACAGAAATAAATAAGCAG